CCGGGTCTCTCCTGGAGGCTGGCATCCCTAAGCTCCACCTAGTGGTGGTAGGGAACACTTTCTGAACTTCCTCGAGTCAAGGAAAGACATCCTGAGCCCTCTCAACGGAACGTAGCTGCGTCGAGTTCATTCATAGGGGAAGATGGGCTAGAAACACCTTAAATGAATAAATACCAAACAGCACAGTGCGGGAGAAAGCAGGAGTACTGCGTGTTGCCACATCAAGAGCATTGGTACAGAAGGTTTGGGGCTCAACTTCTACCTTCCCCCATCTGAAGGGTTCTAAGAAGTAAGGCTGATAAATAGTTCCACTGATAGTGTGAGACAGCTTCGATCCGGTATGGATCTCAGACGGTATACTTCCATATCTCGTATGGAATTTCCCTATAACTCTGGTTCTAGCACAGGAATAGGCAAAGGGGAAGGAGGAGAGTGACTTAAAGGAGGCAGGGAGGTGACCCATCCGAGCTCCCAGAACCCTTAGCAGCTACTCAAAGTCTCTTCGAGGAGGCCCATCACCCGTTTTGGAGATAACAGCCACGGAGCCCTACAAGAGCAGAGGCTCCGGACTAGGGCTTCCAGACACCCCCCCCCAGTGGAGGCTGGGCCCCACCTCTCCACCCCTGATCTTACCCCAAAAACGAGAGATATCCATCCGACGTACAGCAAAAACTCTGTGGTAGAAGCCAAATTCACCATAGAGCTTTTGCCCAAATACCAGAGCGTCATCCCAACACCCCAGACATAATGACATCACTTCCGGGTATAGAATCCTAGAATCCCAGAGTTGGAAGGGGCCATACAGGCCATCTAGTCCAACCCCCTGCTCGATGCAGGAGCAGCCTAGAGCATCCCTGACTAGTGTATACTTAGTCCGGACCTTATTGTCACCCGCTCATTGGCCACCCCCAGCTCCTGTCCGAGTGGAAGCAGAAGTTTCAGGAGTCCCAGACGGAGCTCGAGTCCTCACAGAAGGAGGCCCGTTCGCTCAGCACCGAGCTCTTCAAGCTGAAGAACGCCTACGAGGAGTCGCTGGAGCACCTGGAGACCTTCAAGAGGGAGAACAAGAACCTGCAGGGTGAGCCTTTCAGGCCCCTTCCCTCACCCATCTAGGCCTCAGCTCCGTCCCTTCTTGGTGAACAGGCGAGGGCAAGAGAGTGGGTCCCTTGTGCCCTGACCAAGTCTCTCTCTGGTGAACGGAAGCTGATTCGCTTTTCCCGTTCCTCCCGGCAGAGGAGATCTCCGATCTTACCGAGCAGCTTGGAGCCAGCGGCAAGAGCATTCATGAGCTCGAGAAGATTCGGAAGCAGCTGGAGGCGGAGAAGATGGAGCTGCAGGCGGCCCTTGAGGAGGCTGAGGTGAGGAGGGCCCTGGGTCGGGAAGCTCCCACAACACCCCTTACTTCAGGGGTTTCCCCAACCTTTCTGAGCCTCTGGGCACTGTTGGGATTCTGAAAGAAACATGGCGGGCACAGCCACAAAATGGCTGCCACAAGAGACAGAGCGGGCACAAAATCAGGCTAGGTGAGGCCATCCAGGTCAGAGCGAATAATACTTAATACCAGGGGTCATTTTGTAGAAAAAGAGGTGCAGGAGCTCATTAGCATAACTCATTAGCATAACTTATTTGCATACGTCACACCCCCTGACATCACCGGATGTGTGTCAGAAGGCAGCACCCACCGCTT